CTTTGACCTCTGCCTACCCTCAACCCTCTGCCCTGTGAATGGTGGCACTCGTTGCTTTTGTTCCCTCCAGTTCAGTCCTCTGCTTGCCAGCAGGCATGCTGCCTGCAACTATGTAGACAATAAACATTGCTGCACTCGTCTCTCTAATCAGTCGTTGTGATGCCTGTGTTGAGCTCAGATCCTACAACGACACAACCCAGCCCCAGCGTTTCTTTTTAGGGACCTATGCTGGTAATATACCATACCATACCATACCATACCATACAGCTGACTTCAGCGTCCCCTTCTGCCTTCAACATAAAGCGTAAGCAGCCAGTCCATTTCATAATAAGCACCACAATAGATGCTCATCTCTCTCTCCCCAACTTTTTTGTCTCCCTTCTGCTCCTCTGCAGTTGCCTCTCCTTCGTTGTCCTCCTTTTCTTTTAGTTTGCATTCCTTTTTGAATTCGCATTCGTGTATCCGCATTGTTTCCAATGCTGAACGATTTCTTCAATAATTCCATGCATTCGCGTACTTCTTCCCGCTCTGCAGCACAAGCAACAATCAGCGAGCACACGCTTGCAACAATGTCTATGTACAACCACTCCCAAGGTGCGATCCTCTCTCCAACCCCTCGCGTACTTTCCTTCCCCACCCACCATTCCATGCTTGACGTGCATTTACATTACCTAGTGTCGTTCATGGACACTGTTTCGAATAACGGAAGCAGTGGCCCACCACTCACCCCTCCTGAGCTGAGTCCGTCCACACCTTCCACTTCTCCTCCTCCCTTCGAGCCAGAACGTCCCAGAGATACACCTTTGCAGTCATCCCCAACAACTCAGTTCACTGTACCTCCGATTGTGAGACATAGTCAGAGCATGTAACGCGCAGGTACAAACACAGCTTCGCCTGCAGCCCAAATCATCTCGTTCAACGCTCCGGATCACGACCCCGGTGCACTGCTCACACTCGCTACACGCCATCGCGATACATCCATCTCCTCGCTCCAGTTAGCCACTCACGTTAATGCCAATACTCATGCTCACACCTTTAGCCAGACAGTCTCACAACTTCTCTCACAAGCACAACCTCAACCTACACAACACGTACAACCTTACAACTGGTAGGCACACGCAATTCAACTTGCAGGGACCGAGCGACGACTAAGTCTTAGTGACTAAGACCACATCAAACGACCCAAGGACGCATTCATTGTCTTCTGTCGCGAATGCTGTTTGAAAAAGAACGAGGCAGAGGCTGCACTACCTGCAGAAGGTGACCTGGTCGCACGACATCAGCGTCGAGCTGACCTCTCCAAAACAATCTCATACCAATAGCGTTCGCTGTTTGTAGAGGAACGTAAATACTGGGGCGAACTCGCGAAGCAGAGGAAGAAAGAGCACGAGGAGATGAATACCCATGGTACGTCTATTGGTTGTTGTGATTTGCTAAGGTAGTGATAGTTTTGTTTCTGTTATAATGTGTTAATATTATGTACTGTTCGGCATTGTTAGTAAAGAATAAAATATTTAAATAAAATATATATTGTATAATAAGCCATTCAGGTAAGATATAAGCTGTAAATTAACTTATTTAAGGATTATAAGATAGCAGAAGAAGTATTATGCCATATCAGAAGAGGGGTGCAATATATACCATTATAGACTTTCCTAAGAGCTATAATTCTTATATCCCCATTGTAAGGACATGTAATGTTTATTAATTCTCATAACATAAATCTGTCTTATTACAACCTTATAGTATCTTTTATATATCTTATCTAATGAGGGGTGCAATAAATGTCATTATGGATAATATTGTTTTTTTACTATATTATATATGCATATAAGAGTATATAATAATAAAG